TGACAAGCCTGCTACACTGACGTATAGCTAGGGTGCTGCACAGGTTTCCGTGCTGCCTAGGTGGACGCCGCTATACTTCGTGTGCTGCTGCAGTCATTTTTTAAAGCAAACGTTAATCTTTGGGAAAGGTTTCATTTCCAGCAGTACCAAACCTGAGATGCCTTCCAGGGGCAGTGAGCTGCAGACATCTATAACACGTTTCCTGCACAAGCGATCTGTGCACGTTCGCCGGGCTTTTAAAGAGGGAGGAGACGCCGGGGCTTGAAGAAACCTGGGTTCAATTCCCAGCTTTGCTCCAATGCTTCTGGCCACTCACTGCTTCTCTTTGTTCTCTTGTGTCTCCTCTCGCGCATCGCCCATTTAGACTATACATCTAAGCGTACATCATCACAGGACTTGGGGCTCTATGCATTTCTCAGGGCTGCCCCTCACTGCCCTCCTATGCCCTCACAACCCCTCTTACCTGAGAACAGAGCTTGGAAGCCAGGAGGGCTGATCTTCCACAGGGCGTGCGCTAAAACCCAGGTGCCACTTTCCCTGCAGCGGGTAGCCCTCCTGCTTTACGGTGAGGAGGGAGGCTAAATCACTCCCGGGCTGCTGGTCCTCCAATGCCTCCCCACAATTCTCTGTCAGAGGCCTAGAAGGACAGACAAATTCTCCCACAATTCACTGTGAAAGCATCCAAGTGGCTCAAAGAGCCATGGGCTATGCCCTGGGTGGTGCCATCAACACATGGGGGTGCAGCAGGAGCAAGGGCAGTGTAACAGCCCCCAGTTCAGCTAGCTTTACCTGGGGTTACCGTATTTCCAGTTTCAAAAAAGAGGACACCTGTGGGGGAGTGATTAAATGAGAGGTGGGGAGGGGCATTGATATGCTGGTGACCTGCCCCTGCCATTGCCCCTCACTCCCAAGCCTCAGCCCCACCCCCACCCCCTGCCAGTGCCCTTCACTCCCAATCCACAGTACCTTGCCCCCCTGGGCCATGCTGGTGCCCCTCACTCCCAACCTGCAGCCCCCTCTGTCCCTGCTGGTGCCCCTCATTACTGACCTGCAGCCCCCTAGTGCTGGCTCTACCCCGCACTCCCAACCCACATCCCCCTCCACCCCCCTGGTGCCCCTCACTCCCAACCCACACCCCCTACTCCCCCCAGCCCTGCAGCATCTCCTGGCCAACCCTGCAAGCAAGGGCACTAGCCCCCATGCCACCAACCCAGCCACACAGCTTCCTGCTGTCCCTGAAGGGCCCCCCTGCCCCTACCCACCCTGGAGGGGCAGGAGCCTTCCCCCACCCCCTGTGCCCTGCTGCAGTCCCAGCACCCAGACAGCTTCCCCCAGCGCCAGCAGGCACCCACCGCCTTCACACACCCCTGCCACACATACACACACAGACTCACCTGCCCCACAGCCCGCAAGCCCTGGTCCTCCAACCCCCACTCCCCATAGACTTACCTGCATCCAGCTACAAGGGTTGCTCCTACCACCCTGCCTGTCTGCATGCTGGCCACATGCATGTGTGCGCACAGATGCATGTGGCACCCCCTGGCTCCAATTGTCTTCCCTCCACTGCCCCCAGCCCCAAGCAGCTCCTTGCTACGGCAAGCAGGGAAGTGCTGGGGAAAACTTCAATGCTGAGCAGAGAAAAAAATCCCAAATATTTGTTCAAATTTTTAAGAACCTCCCCGATGGAGATCAAAAGACCCAAAAAAAGGACATGTCTGGGAAAACCCGGATGTATGCTGGCCCTTGTTTAACTGGTTGCTCACGCCTATGGCACACATACTTGAGTACAGTGAAGACCTGGTCCTGAAGGTGGGAGCGGTCTCTCAGGGTGCACTGGAGCACCAGCTCACTGAGACACACCGGAGCCAGCTTTAAATTAGCCACCTTAGGTACTGCTCTTGGGGCAGGATGGCTGCACATGCCTGGGGCACAGCAACAAAGGTGGAAGCTCCTTCAGACTTCCTCTTTCAAGCCATCTTGGGCCACTGTCCACTAGCTAGGAGGAATGTGCAGGCCGAGCTCCCGTCCTGACAGGAGTATCGTGACCCAAGTCACAAACAGTGACCCCAGCTCTTAAGATGGAAATTAAGTTGGTGGAGTCTCCTACCTCTCCCCAGGCCTCCCATCAATGCTGCTCGGTTGTGTTCATCCCAGGGCCAGCTGCATCCACCCTTCATGGGCTCTGAGGCCAACCTGTCCATCTCCCGCAAAAATTTGGGACTTTTAACCCTTCTTTGTCCCTGCTGCTTGATGGTTAGGAGGAAACAGCACATGCGTGGCCTCCTCTTTCTCAGCAGCTGGGGTGGGGGCTGGAGGAGTCATCCTCTGAGCTTCTCTGCAGGCAGCTGGGATGATACAACTTGCTGCCGCCTCTTATAGCACTTCTTGGCTTTGGGCAGTAGCTGAGCACATTGCCTCTCAAGGGAACAACCTCCTACTGCCAACAGCTGACTTGCTCCTTTAGCTCAGGGAGTTTTGGGGTCTTAAGGATTGCAAGGTTAGGGGCTGCAGAGGACCACCAATAAAGGCAATTGCAGGAGCAAGTTATGCTCTCCCTGGCAGGTCAGAGGGGGAGACATCCTACCCCTCCTTTCCTGGGGAGGGATGGAAGGGCTCATTACCGCCCTAGACACCTGGAAAGAGGGCAAAGGAATTATATTCACCCCAGTCCCTTCCTGCCCTGGGCTTCCCCTCAGCATTGTCCTTGCCCCAGTTGCTTGCCTCTACCCCTGTTTGAGGGGTAGGTACTTACCATGCACCAAGGACTTTTCCAGAGCAACAAGCAGCAGTAGCCCAAGCTCTGCTCTGCCCGTATCTGTGCACTGGGCCCAGGGAGGAAGCGAATCCTGCTTCGAAAGAGCAAGGCAATCATCAATGGGCCCCAGGAGAAGGCTACAGTCAAGTAGGCTGGAGCTGAGATTCAGTCAACAGGCCGCTGGCTGCAGAAATGCACCCTACTAATGGGAACTGGACAGAGTCCAACTCTCACTGTGTGTACGGCTCGCTTTCAATGTGTGCTAATTGCAGCAGGTTTGAAGGAAGGCATGGAGGTGCTGAGGGGGGTGCAGGGACAGGCCAGCCCCACTGCAGAATGCTGCCAGGAGCACACTGGGATGAGGGGATGGCAGGGGAGGGCCCGCAAGCCCCGCGGTGTGCAGAGGTGGTGCTGAACTTTGGTTACTGCACTGACTCTTCTTGCTGGGTAGGACTGCCCAACAGTGCCCTAGATCACAGACCCAGCTCTGAAGCATGGCCAGATCTCCATCATCACCAGTCGCAAAGCCCCGTTCAATTAACCAGTGCAAGGCTCTGAGCAGACTCACCCAAGCTGAACTGCCATCTCAACGCCAGTCACTGAGCTTATGGCTGGTCCTTGAATACAGCTCAAGCCACAGTAGCCAGGTTCGTGCTGGCTGAATTTAGCCAAGTTGTGATTCATTTAGCTAAACCAACATAACCGTAGACAAGAGCTGAGGCAGCTCTCTCCCAGTGCTAAAAAGAGATGGCCAATACTAGTCTCTCTGCAGCCTGGCTGTTTTCCCACTCATTTCAGGACACACCCCTTGAGGGAGGACACCTTAGGGCACATGTAGACCAAGGGAAGCGTGGTGGGGAGACGCACAAGGAACTTTTCATTAAAAAAAAAAAAAACACCCAAGCATTTCACATCACAAATAAGCACCATGGATTTTACATTTAAATTACGAACTGTATTTCAGTGTCTTTTTTTATTTTTTTTTGTCTAGCGCTCAAGACCAAACTATGGGAGGTTTTATTTCTTTGCCTTGAGATAGGCATCTGAAACAACACGTGCTTCAGAGTCCTATTAAGTAAACCCATCAGAGACAGGAGGGGCAGACCAATGCCAGGTGTTTTATGGATTGTGTTTTTACCCTATAGTAACTATGGAGTGGACACAACACACACATGTACATCACCCTCCACCGGGGGCTTTACCCCCTCAGAGAGGGAGGATTAACTATACATCCGTGTAATCATGGTTATATACAGGTGGTCCTCACACTTATGACATTTAATTCCTGAAAACCATGTCTTAAGTCGAAACGTTGTAACTTGGAACTGATTTCCCCATAGGAACAATGTTATAAATGGGGGACTGGTTCCTGAACGAAGGCCCGATACCCTGTTTTCACCAAAAATAACCCAGAATTTTGTACTCTTATCAATTATTGATGAGTAATATAGCTACATCAATGTATTTCTAGTGTAAATAGCAATCATATTGATTTGGAAGGATTCCTTGAGGTGACTTTGCTGGGCTTTTTGAAGGGCTTTTTGCATGGCAGTTTGGCACTGGGAGGTGGGCGGCTGAGCAAACTTGTTCGCTGGCGTGGTGTCACATCAGATCAAGTGTTGCGAAGTTGAAACCAATGTCAGAAAGTCAAAACAGCGTGTCAATTTATAAACGTTGTAAGTGCTGTTCGTTGTAACTCGAACATCGTAAAGTCGAGGACTGCCTGTATCAGATCCCCGAAATTTCATTCTGAAATGCCTGTTTGCTCAACGCAGACTGGCTCCCCTTCCACTTAGTGGTCAGGCACTGTACTAGCAAGGACTGCAGGCAGCCAGCTGTGGCAAGTTGGCCATGCATCCAGTCCTTACTATGGAATAAAATCCAGAACATTTCCTTTGTAGCAGTCACATCTGCAGCCTGGGAGGGAAGGGATGAAACAGGAGCTCCATGCAGGAATGATTTCACCTTGCCATGCTGATGAGAAGATGAAGTCTTTAGCAACTAATTTATCATAGCGAACAAGCCCCTTCATTAATCAACATTAAAAAAAATAGCCCTAGCCCCAAATCCCTGTCTAGGATAGTTATTTGCTGCACTGTTACTGTGCCACTGACCACATTCTGCTCACTTGGACACAGCTGATGGGAACAGCCACAAACAGAAGGAAGGTCCCATGCAGGGAACTAGAAATGGACACAGCAAGACCCTGGGCCTCCCAGCTTGGGACAAACAGACAGAGACAGCATTTAGCCAAACTTCTTTACTAAAGTAAATATATCTATAAACAATAATTTAAAACCAAAATGGGCTCAAGCATTATGACACCCTACAGGCTGGAACTTGGCCTGCTTTGGCCAAAGAGGCAGGCCTCCATAGAATAAATGGCAAATAAAGACAACATCATGTCTTGCTGCAGCATGGCAGATGCAAGTAAAGAGAACCAAGCCATGGCCCTGGTGAGCTAATTCAAGCTGTGACAGAAGACAGACAGACGCAGCAACACATGGCTGCTGAAAAAGCACACACTTTGACATTTAAAAGCACATCTTAATGCAAAAATCGGTTGAATGAAGAGCTTTGGTCTTGTGACCTGAGAGCATTTATCATCTCAACTTCCCCGCCCTACAATTGTAAGTCAGGAATTGAGCAGGAGCAGGCTGTGCATGGGAAGCACAACAGCCAACTCTTACATCTGTGCATTTCCATCTCAGCCAGTGCACTCCCGATCAGACTTGCTTCAAGCGGGGCTGAACAAGACAACCAAGCCAGGAGGAGCTGTTCTTGGAGACCTCCCTCCCTGCTGCCACTACCCCACAATATTCACCGCATGACTGAATTCTTGGCACTAGCTTCTTGTTGGTAAAACAGGAGGAAAGGACTCGTGGCAGCCAGGAGACTGGGGGCTCAAGTGCGGGAAGCACATCCCAGCTCCAGAAAAATCAACATCTCTTGAAGAATCAGCACTATTTGCAGAAAGCACTTTAGTAGCAGACCAGGTAGCACAAAGCAGTGAACGTGAGGAGCCAGCGGGGAGAGGAACACACCGTGAAGAGAATACTTGGCTGCTGAACACAGCCTCTGATAAAGGGCATGTTGGGTGGTGATGAATTCAGCCATCACACCTGGAGAAGGGAAGCTGCCAGAGAACAGCAGGCTGGGAATACCAGGAGCGACATTCAGATCTCACGCTCCTGCTCCTCGACACTGGGAGAGCACAGGTTTATGCCATCCTTCCTGCTCCATCTGCCAGAGTAAGCGGGGGGGAGAGGCACCTGGTAAGGGAAGCCCAGAATCGTCCATCGTGAACAAGAGTACTCACTGCTTCTCCAAGTAAGAGCAGCAGCTGCTCTTGTTCAGATGCAGCAGAGATGGTCCCCTTACAGCACAAACGAGCAGGAGCAGTGGTGCTGGTTCACTGGGCTCCTCTTTGTAGCAAAGGTTCCAGTGAGGGAAGGGGAGGCAATGTGGGCAGCCCAGCATCAAAGGGCTCGCTCTGACCAAGTTCTGCCATAAAAGTCCACTCCAGGCACAGACCATGCAGTAGCCAGAGCCCCTGTGGAGCAGGGGCAGACAGAAACCCATTTGGAAAGGTCCCCAAGAAGTCCGATCTCAGCCAGCCCATTAGGGCAGCTGCCTTGCACCCCAACACGTGCACATGCAACTTGCTGCTAAAAAAGGTCCCTGCTCGTTTGTGAAACTGGTTCCCAGGCCAGCCTAGCCTGCCTCTGGGAAGGCCCATGTGAGCCAGTCACACACCTACTGACTCCCACCAGCTGTACAGCCAACTTTCCAAATGAAGCAATATCAAGAAAATTACTAAGTGCATCTGATAACCAGACATGTTTTTAACTGGGAATGTCTCTATTCTTGCTCTGGCATAACTGGTGTAGCCTCTAAGACTCCACATCTCCACTAGTGGGATTAAGGTCTAAAGTCAAAATATGAGGTAACCAAATACAAGAGAAACTTGCAAGTATATAGCATCTTCATACACATTTTTATAAGTCTCCCACGCTTAGCAGTAATTCTTGTTGGGGGAGAGTGCCCAGCTAGCTGGCCAGGCTGTTTTCAGATGTTTGAGTATCAGAAGTGGGGTTTGGTCTCCTGAACACAAGTGGATTCACAGCACCTGCCCCCTTCCAAACTCAAGCATGAGCAGATAGCTTGTGGAAATGGGAATCCAGACCTCAGGCTGCATTCAAATTAAGTGACTTGTCCTTGCCAGTCTAACGAGACTGTGCCCCCCACCCCTCCACACTTCAGCCTAGGCCACCATTGTAATGACAACTACTACGGTGTTCTTTAAGGGAGGTCACCCATCCAAGTAAACCTGCAGGGCTGCTGAGAAGTCACCTACAAGAATGCATGTGCTTGCTTAACACTGCTGGCACAAGCAAGCCAGCAGAAGAGACGGGAATAGAACCATATTCAGATGCTCCTCAGTGCCCAGTCACCAACTGCCTTGCCTAGAGGGGACAGGGTTTTTCGAGGGCTCCACACTCCTTGGGACCCAACACAGAAGTGGCCAGATTTTGCAGATGCTCAGCATCCCTGTAGTCTCTATCACACGCTTCGGAAAGCGCAGCCACTGCCATTTGGGAGTGGACATGGATGAAGCACCTTTGAAGACGTGATGCTGGGTACTGGTTTGGGGGGGGGTTGTAGGGGAGAGGAGAGGAAGAGCCTCCAAGCCTTTGTTTAAGCAACTTTTTTATATATTCCAATAGCATTCAGCAGTTGATTTCTCAGGAGCACGTGCAACTGGGCAAGTCACTGAATTTTAGCCACAGCCACACAAAAATCACAGCCTTGCTACTCCTGAAGCAGTGAGAAGGCAGAGAGGGGAAAAGAAGTCAGAGCCACACACAGGGAGGATGGTAACTTTGATGGGCACCAGGGAGGAGAAGAGGCCAAGCAAAATTGGGAACAATCATGGAATTCAAGGCCAAGACGACTGCTGATACCTAAAAATAAGCCACCTGTCCCTTTGAAAACTGCCTCTGATACAGGCTGCCTGCCCTGACCAAAATCCTATTCCAAGAATCAAAGAAACCATGGGGTCAACATCCCAGAGGAAGCAGGTTGAAAAGGAAAGAGCAGGGCTGTGCTCTGCTGAGATCCCAGCAGCAAGTACGTTATTAAATCAACTCGAGCCCAGCCCCGAGACAGTAACTGCATTTACCTATGAGCCATGTCTGAAATCATCTCTGAAGCACGATGATATTGCAGGGTGTCTCCTTCAAAGCAGTGCTTTCCTCTTAGATGCCAAATGCCTTCACCATGAGTTTCTCCCTCCCCCTCACTGGTCTCTACCGTCTCCCCCAGGCTCCCCGCTCTCAGGCAATCTTGGCCAGCCACTTCTCTAAGTCCTCGATGTCAGCGCTGCCTTCATCCCCCTTGCTGCCCCTGGCACTGCACTCGACAAATTCCACCTTCATGGGCAGCTGTGAGAAGTCAAACTCCTTGCCCCTTTTGCCCAGCTGAGCAGCGCCGCCAGAGGTCGAGCCATCCAAGCTGGTAGGAGCAGCTGAGCGGGTCACTCGCAAGGTGTTGCTGTTGTGAGAGAGAAGCACAGAACATTGTAAGCTAGGGCAGGGATGAGGGGTTCACTAGCATTGTGCATCAGTAAACACCAGGATGCAGCTCTGCCAAACCTTCCTAATCCCATCAACACACCTTAGGGAGCAATGCCTTCAGTACACAGCAGGCAGCTGGTCTAGGGAACAGGAAAATCCTAGCAACTCCCTCACTCACTTGCATATAGCTAGGGTTAACTAGGGAAGCCTAGTACCAAGCCATTTTAACCACCTAGTATATTACTCTGACCACAGGACTCTGGCTGGAAGCCTGTGGGGGTGGAGATGAATGCATGAGATAACAGGGCTGTTAAGCTGATACTATCTGGTAAAACTCCAGGCTAGATGACAGAGACCGAAAACCAGTGGCTGCACAGTGAGTGGGTTATGGGCCAGGACCTGATGATTTCTGTTGGTTCCTGGTTGAGAGGTGGCCAAGTTCTCACTGACACTCGAAGAGAGGTCTTCAGTCCCTGACCCATCATTTGAGAGGTGGAAGGTCCACTCCACCTTGGCATGGAGGAAAAGCAAGGTCAGGGAGCTGATGATATTTGCTCTGCAGGATGGCAAGTGGGTGATGCCCATTACACTTTGGCCCTTATTACACCCCTTCACAAGTCATTTCCTTTAAAACTTGGTCACAACGACAGGGAAAGCAGCACATCACTGAGACTGCCAAGTGATCCCTTAGGGCCCGTGCTGGGACAGTTCAGACAGTGCAGTGTCCTGTCCTCACAGGGCACAGTCTGGCGAGGGAATCATCCAACTATCTGCACCCTGAAAGTAGGCCACAGCAGACGTGCTCACAGCACAGCCCTGTCAGTTTGTAAGAAATTTGAAAATCCTGCTAAATACCTTGTCACACAAGGACATGGAAAGGGAAAGGAAAGGGCATCCTGGAAATGAGGCAGCAGCACTCTGGCAACCTGGGTGAACAAAGCCTAGTTTGTGTTCACATAGATTCACAGCCATTGTCCTCAGAGCTGATGCTCCCAATCTCGAATAAGTTTGTCCGTGCACATGTCTGTGTGAAAAGGGGGCAGGGAAGAGTACAAGTCAGCAGGCCAGATGCGATGTGTGCCTCACAGGGGATGGGGGGGGGAGTAAAGGTGCTTAAACAGGTTTTGCTCCAAAATAAGTGATCCTCCTAACAGTTATTTAGCAAAGCTCTGAGCAAAGTTTGGCTAACATCCACATAACTTGGATGCCAAGCACAAGTAATTACACAAAGGAAGATGCATTGCTTTAATCATTCATTACTGACCAGGCTGGTAAGGTGACCTATGCCCAAGTGTGTACCCTTATACAGCGCATTCCTCTTTACAGAAAGGAAAATAACACTGTGTTGGTGTAAGGCACTGACCTGACTGCATCTGTCTGAGGTATAGGCTGTACTGCTTTAACTATGCATACACACGTGTATAAAGCAGGCCTAAATTAGCTTGACAACAGGAACCAGGTGACTATCGGGTCCCTCGGCTTGCAAACAGTCCAAGTGGGACAACATACACCACATGCATAAGATGCAACTTAGCTGTTTTTATCATAAGCCCCTCTGAGCCTCTACTGGGGAGGGTAGCATATAACAAATGAAATGAAATGAAGTGTGTGTCCTATAAATTTGGGAAGTTCCCAGAGTCACCACATGAAACCTGCTCTCTGGATCAACAAGAAGCACAGACTGCATTTTTAGCACAGCAGCCTCAAGGGCATTGCTTTGAAGTCTATGCATCCTTTCACTGTTCTGGGCTTGAAAATAAACTCCCACGACAACCCCCAGAAAGGATTACAGGTGAAATAACATCACTTGTCCAGGTTCCAACTGCAGGTTCCACAATTCTTGAAATTAAACTCACTCTCTTCTGAGAAAATAAAACAAACTTGCCATGCAGTCAAGAATTTCTGGCTACGCCACTCCTCAGTCTTGCAGCACTGAATATTGGAAGTCCTTCCACAACAGCTGAGAGAAAGCTTAACCTGCTGTTATAACGATCCCACTGAATGCCAAGTTTGATTGTGGATGACATTTGGAAGCCCAAAAGCCTCAGATTCAAAGGAAGCTGCTGAATTTTAAAAACATTTCTCATATCCATTGGGATTCTCCTACAGCAGAAGGTGAGAGAACAATACTGAACTAAGAGGCCTGACATGCTTTCCCATTGACGTGGCCCTGGGTAAAATGATAGGGAAGAATGGGGGTTAATAATTTATTTGCCCATAGAGTTAAGCTTCGATGCAGTGTCTGCTTTTCATGAAGGTTCACACTATTTCTCTTCCTCCTGCCCCCAACCAGCGTGAGAAAACTACAAGTCTCACATATATTCCCAAAGAAGAATCACACTTCACTACACAGAAATCTTCCCCCCACCCTGCAATAATTCAGCAGCCTTGGCAAAACCCCAAATACCTGCTGGCTTGGGATGGCTTAAAGGGCCCATCACAATCCTACTTCTAGAATGCAGTGACAGACAGACAATTTATGATGGAGTCTCCCCAAATCTCTTGTCCGGTACAGCCTTCTGCAGCTCCAGTGCATTTCCCCATCCTCTTTTCATAAGCAGCTATATTGCTTTAAACAGCCCTGCTGCCTTTTCAATGTAATAGAAATCTTGTTATCCATCAATGCAATTAACCTGCCAAGAGCACAGCCTGATGCTAACTAAGCAGATTACCAAAGGATAATTAGGGTGGTGGAATTACCCCAGCCCTTATTCAGACAGTGGATTAGCAGATTCAGCCATTCTGAGGTCTGATCGTTCTGCAGTAAAAATATGCTAATCTGATGCAAATAAGGAACCTGGTGAGTTCTGCAGATGGGCTGGATTTAATTTGGCTCTGGAAAAAGTAAAGCACAAACTCATATTAAAAGATGGAGGGAAGGGAAGGGAAGGGAAGGGGAGAGGGAGAGGGAGAGAAAGAAAGGAAGATGACAGAAGAGCAGGGCAGTACTCAGCCACAAATGTGTACCACTGACAGAATTTAACAGGCCTGAGCTCAATTCCTGACTCACCTTAGTCTGCCAGAATGAGCCTGGGCCGTTTACTTGTTCTCCCTGTGCCTCCATAAGAGATACCGCCCTTCCTTTCTCCTACCTTCTGCCTACATCTTAGTTACTCAGATGACAAGCTCTTTACTACGCCCTTGCTAGGTATACAACAGCCAGCAGGATGGGGATCCAACTTCATCTGGGGAATCCCTAAGTGTCACCACGAGATAGATTATAATAAATCCAGAAAGAAAACAGCTGGTGGCTCAGATTTCCCCATCAAGGCAAACAACAGAGATGAAAGGCAGGTCAAGAAAGAACTCTGCTTGGCACTGACACAGCACTCTCACCCACAGATCTCAAAGTGCCTCACACTTCTTGGGGAGCAAAGACCTTCCCAAGTCCACAGAGTGAGCCAGTGGTGCTCATCATAGAAGAACTGCCTCCTGGCCTCAGCCTCAATTTGTGGGAAGAGGTCCCTGCTAATTTCCTAAGTGAGGCAGAAACCAAAATGAACAACCCCAGGAACAGCCCCTCAGAACAACCAGCATGGTCTAGGAAATTAATTCAGAGCAATTAGGATGCAGAGTGCCACCTGGAAAGGATAAGCTGGACACAGTGTGGGAACAGGCCCTAGACAGGAGCATCACTGGAGGTGGGTGATGGGCACTACACCTAAGTGCTGGGCACAAGGACAGGGGCCACCGCCATCACTGGCCCGGCTACTGTCGCTGCACTACAGTGGGGCGCAGGGAAGAAGTCTTGTCCCATGACTGCAGGGACTGAACCTGTACTGGAAGAGCATCTTGCTCGACTGGAGAAGTCTAAAAGCTGAGCCAGAGCATCTAGATCTGTGCTAGATTTAGTAGATGCCTGAGGGGAAAAAGCTTGCTGTGTGCCGGGGTGGATGGAGGGACCCATCCCTCCACCCACCCACATGTGCACATTCATGGAAGCAGCAAAGACAAAATTCCTGAAAGGGAAAGAAGGGAAGTCCACTCTCCTCCCCCCGCCCCACACACATGCTCTTCACACAGGTGCTGCATGAGGGATCCTTTCTATCCAAATGACCATCGGCCTCAGCAACATCTGATCACGTTCACATGCAGGGTAAACACTACTCCTCTCCCTTCAAAATTGCACTGCATCATTCCAGTTCCCCAGTCTGTACTGGGGCGGGAGGAAACTCCTCCCAGTCAGCCTCTGAGGTCACTGCCCCTCCCAGCTCCACATCTATCTGCAGCAGGGGAAGGGCAGCAACAGCTTCTACTAGGTCCAACTGGAGTTAATTAAAAACAGCAGAGGTCACAAAAGGAAGAACTCCAGCAAAACAGAAGCCTCACAACTCATCTGCTTCCCAAATCTTGAGAAAGAAACCAGAGCTAGACCTGGGAGAGTCAAGACAGATGGGCACCAGTACCAGGTTACCCAATGCAAAGAGCATACTGTCCTTTGGCTCCTGGATGCAGCAGGCTGGGGGCTGTGCAGGCATTCCATTTTCTTCTATCACCCCTACAAATCCTCACTCCTTTTAATGCGTGAACAAAGCCTCTATACCTCCTCTCTGCCAACCCGAAACACTGGCTGCTCGCAGGCTGGAACCCAACTAGGCTGAGGAGAGGGCCCTCCAGAGACGGCTGCTTTACAGATGAGGGACCAGATGCTGCAAGCTCTCCAACCACACCTGGATACTGCTCTGGAGTGCTAAGGGATCAGCAGACCAGCAAGCCAATGACCGAGACATTAAAATAATATGGCCTCCTCAAGGTGGACACATTAGCCAGCAGGCAGCACACAGAAACCCAGCCCCCTATGGCATCAATAACTAGCAAATGCCTCATCTGAAAACCAAGGGAAACAACTATGCTGGCTCCCCCCGGAGTCTTAGCTGCTTCTCTCTACAAGGGAGAGGCATAAAGCTAGGCTGGAAGAGATACTATTTAAATATCACTGCTGCTCTCTACTGGGCAGAAGGGGGAAGAGTCCCAAAAGAGGTGATTAGTGAGAGGCTGCTTGGCTTGGTGACTGCTTGTGAAGTTTGAAAGGTGCTGCTCCTGTTCTCCTAATTCCCAAGTTGTCTCAGGGCTAAGTTGGACCCAAGAGTCTTCGACAGTGCCCTACATGAGGAACCGTGGCATGAGAAACAACAGTATAGGACCTGCTGGGGAAGAGCCATCCTAAATTGCTGTAACTACAGGGTACTTTTTCATGCTGCGAGTGCAGAGTAAATTGTACAGCAACAAACGGCTTAATAATCTCATCTGGACAGATTCCATCCACCTATGGTGATGGGATGCACCTAACAACAGGCTCAGGTTTTAACTCTGCTAAGAATCAGCTTCTAGTTGGACTTTCCCACAATGAACTGAGGTGATTTAAAAATCATGGTATCCCCACCTCAGCTGAGTCGAACTGTAACATGTCCCCTCTCCTCTTAAAAAAGGGAGACACTTAAAATATCGAATGTGATCTTATAATTAGCAGGAGTTATCTCCAAATGAAGTAGGGCAGCCTGGGCAGTGGGCTGTATGTGCCTATGCATGTGGACCAAGGGAACGGGACCTTACAACTGCTCCCATGCCTGCAATGTTATGTGGTTTAGAAACAGCTAAATGGAACAAGGTCCCTTCTTTCCCTCCCCTAGGGATTAAGATCCTCTGAGCCCCAAAACTGTTTCCAACAGAGTTTGCATTTAGGAATCTCCTCCAGCTAGCAGTGATAAGCAGTGCTAGGTCTCTCAGCCTATATTTCAGAGCAGGGGTGGGCAATTATTTGGGCTGGTGGGCCACTTAATGAGTTTTAGTGACTTGTTGAGGGCCATACCTCTCTCTCCCCTCCTTTCTCCATCCTTTCCTCTAGGGGTTATGACTCGCACTGAAGCCTGAACCTGCCTGCAGTTATAGCATGCTTGCCCCCACCACCATCCTGAGCCCAGAGCCCCAACCTGGAAGCTGGGTGCATTTGGGCAGCTGTGGACACAGCCAGCAGCTACCAGGTTGGGGCTCAGGAGGACAGGGGAAGATGACACGTGCTACAGCTGCAGGTGGGTTCATGCTTCTGTGCTGATGGCAGCCCAGCCCAGAGAGAGAGCAACCAGCATGCCAGCAGCCCCGGCTGACTGGCACCATGTGGCTACCATTGCCAGAGGCACCTCCTGCCTGTGGGCTTGATCCATTCACTTGGCAGGTACCTACCCGCAGGCCAGATCTAGTCAGCTGGCAAGCCAAATCTGGCCTGTGGGACATATTTTTCCCACCCCTGTTTTACAGGCTTATAATGCACTGTTCACTTCCTCACTATTTGAATGTGGGATCTTTGGTCGACAGGAAAGGAAACTGCTAGGAGTAAAAGAGCTGCACATCATTATTCAGCAGAACCAGCCCAAACTTACAGCTCCTTCTCCAGCTGCAACTGAATAAGCTTGGCTGATTTGGCCATTGTGATGTCTAGAAAGAAAGAAAAAAACTGTTTTAAAAACAACATTTAGATGCTAGCCTGTTTTCTTTTAAAGGCAGGGAAAAGCTGACTAGACATGGGTATGAAGGTCCCATGACAGGACAATGTAGCTGCCATATCACTGGCCCCCAGAGAGAGAAGCTGCACGTGGGCTCTGAGGCAGCCACCATCTCTGCCGTATTCTGATGAGGCATAGATTGTGAAACAGAAGTGTTTTCTTGAACTCAGTGGGAAGCCAAACACCACAGTCTGGATGTGTCTTGGATTTAACTCCTATTGATTTCATGCTGCTCCCAAGACTTCAGCAGATAGCAGACTCTCTGCTTCACTGGAAACAAGTGCTTTGTGATCAGTCACTTAAAATGGAGGACTGGGCTTGAGCTTCCTACTTCTCTCAATAGCCCCCACAATAACTGACCCAATTATACCCAGCACCAAGTGGTGCAGTTAGGAATTGATCACGTGACTTTAGCCAGACGTTTCTGCTGCAGCCTTCAGGAGCAAACACAACCAATGCTGACATTTAAGCTGCTGCCTGGCTGCAGAGTTGATGCTCCTGGTGCAGAGAGGCAACTCCGGCTGCTCACAGAACCACCGCTTGCAAATTCAGAAAGGCAGCTCCGCACGGGTTCTCACTCCACTCATGTTCGGAGCATGGTCTTCCTTACATAGCAGTCTCGCAGTACAGCTGCCTCTGTGCAATCCTCTGCAACTGCAGTCATTTGAGGCACCTGAGCTAGCAGTCCGTCCTCCTAACTTTGCAACGGGGGTGATGGCAGCATCATTCCCATGTGGTCTTTGCTATTGGATTATACTCCTGCCTTCATGTGCTGGAGTCTAGACTCCTAACAAACATGGCAGGATACGCTTGCTTTGCCTCTCGTAGAGCAAAGGGAATGGGAAGGTACCATCATATGGACTTGGTGTGTCCTGGCTGGCCAAGGGAAAAGATACCAGAACACATCAAGTTCTGAGAGGAAACCCCAGAAAGACTTGGCCCTCTTGGCCCCCCTCCCATAGGGCAGCAGCCATTGAATCAACCCACAGTACCTTGCTTGTTGCAGGCTATTAGCAGCGGGGGAGCATTTTTTAATACCATGCCATCCACAAGGACCTGATACAGGAACTCTGCCACATCCTTCACCTCCCGCTGGAACATGACACTGTCCACGACAAACACAATCGCTCTGCCAAAATAGAAGCCAACAGGTCACAGAAGCTGAAGTGACAAAGCAACAAAGCCATTCAGCCAGCAAACTTGCACAGCATCAGGACTGCAGACTACAAAGCCCAGTCACAAACATCTCATTTCTGAAGAATCTTTTCTGGGTGGGCATCCCATAATCATGACCATGTTTGGGTGGAATTTGGAGTACTCATTACAGAGGAAAGTATCAAGCACAGACCAAGGCTTCACACAAAATTTTACCTATTTGTTCTACTCCGGGCCCATGGCACCAACTTTGCTACCACACTGTATTTAAAGACTAAAGCATGCCCTTCCCAGTACACTAAATGGTCTCTCTCCAAGAAGGCTCAAAAGGCCAGGATTGAGAGAGACGGACCCCCGGTAAGTTTACTTCCAAGAACCCTCTAAAACTATCACTTCTCATCATTCTCCATATTCAAACCCAGGCCCCTTCCAAGCAGACAGTGTTCACTATTCCAGTAGGCACAAAGATAAGATTCTCAAATTCACTTTCACTTCTGATCCAAGCTGCATTCAAACCCAGGACTCAGAGAGAAAGCTAATCAACCTCAAACCATGTTGATCAAACAGGCTTCCAACCCTGGGCACAGATCTGGGAGCCATGCTATGGCCACAACATGAAAGACACTACCACCAAAGAATGGCCACCGTTCTTGCACTTAAATGTGGTTTGGGACTTTGCCAAATCACAACAGAACCAGGGCCTCTGTTGCTAAAGGATCCTCTGACATGACCACATCCCCTCCTCCAACTCAGAGGGGTCAAAGGAGGAAAATCCTCCTTGAACTTATGACCACCTTGTGTCCCTGGTGTCTCAAGTTTTTGGTATCTTAGTCCCTGCAGAGTCCACTGGGCAGTCTCAGAAGTCAGAGCTGCAGCAATCAAACACTGCTTCTCATATAAACAAGACCTGGAAAATGCTTAAGTCATAAAATAAGTATAATCTCCCTCTGCAACGGTCTTTGATTGGGAAAGTCCAAAACACCCTAGAGAACAAGAAACCTTTAGCCAAAAAGACAAAACATTACACAAATATGAGGATTACCAGAGGAACTAGAGAAGGGAAGTGTCCCTTTTTATGCCCACCTCTGTGCCATTTCCAGTATGAGGCACAAACTTGCCATAATAAAAAAAGAATAGAGACCTCAATAACAATTTACTTGAGGTTGTGCACAACCCACGGAACTACTACTTTGTCTTAAATAAATAAAGAAGTATCTTCACAAAGGGCTACTCCTAGTTACTGCTGCGACAGGAGCTTGGGGGTGGGGAAGGGGGAATTGCAGGATGCATGGCTTTAGGAAGCCTGAGATCTTTTTATTGACAGAAACTTTTAGGCTGACGATTACCACCGTCACATTTTGCCCCTTAAAAAGACTGCAGGAAGTCAGCAGGCTGAGATGGCAGACCAGCAGAATTCCTGGCCCAACAGGTTTGCAACCAGCAAATGACAGAACAGAAGAAAGAGGGTTTAATGTAGCAGCATTTCAATCCTGTCCAGACCTGGCCAAAAACAGAAGGAGGTCTCAGGGACTTCCGATTTCTTAAATGACTCCCAGAGAAATAAAAGTTGATGTCAAACATCCAAAAGCCTCCATCCAAGCACGGCTCCGCTTCCTGCTGTCCCCTGGTAGAAGTCATCTGCACTAAAAGTCCTCTCTTTATGCAGCAAATATTAGGAGTGCAATTTTGGGTCAACCCTACCTGCCCGCATACATTCTGTCTAAAGGTGGAGCTTTGCAGATAGGGTGTCTAACACCATGCTACTGTAAGGTACCTGAATAGGAGACCTCCAAGGAAAATCTAGGCACAGCACAGCAGCGCTGATGAATCACTATTGGCAGCAACATGCCACTCAAAGGCAGCACTGAACGCCTACCTCTGCAGTGCTGATACTTGATGCCATTCTGATGGAGGCCAGAGGATGCTTATTAGATATGGTGCAAAGCTACTGCTGCCACAGGCTGCTGAGGTTGGGATGGGATGATGTGATGAGCTCCATCAGGATCTCTGCTGCAGCTCCTTGGTGCTAGCTGGAGCACAGCACATGTTTGATGTCCACCTGCAATTTATTATACCCCAACACCTGCCTCTACTGTCCCCTAACTCCCTTCAGAAATACACAGGCCAGTTCCATCAGCCTTTCCTACTGCTGTGTATGCCCCCCGTCACATTCAACTGACATGGCACAGCCAGTAAGGGTGAGGAGGAGACAGGACACTGGGTCTTGTCCACATGATGCATGGTACAAGAAAAAAGCTCTAAGGAGGCCAGAGATTTGTTGGAAGTCAGCCCCAGCTCACTCCCTCCCCTGCAGCATATCAATGGGACAGGCTCTGCTTACAGCTTGAAGCATCCATCTCCATTCTTCCACTACTTACCGGGCTGCGGCCTTGAACTTCTCCAAGAACTGAAGCCGCAGACTCTCATGGCCTGGGAGGTCAATCAAAGTCATGCTAGTGCCCTGCAAAAGGACCACAGGGTGCAACAATTTCATCAGTAGTTATTCTAGAAACATGCAAAACCACACACAGCTGGGTAGTGAGCTATGTAACAAGGCAAGCCCCACAATACATTCAACAGCCCTGTGGAGGCCTAGAGCAAGTGGGACAGCTTTCAAATTCCCCAACTCCTCTTGGCAAGGCTTTGTTTCCTGCATATACCCTAAATTTACTATTCATTTGCTGGTGATAGGCAGGCACACAGTTCCTATATCTCTAAGTGTGACAGCAACTAATGGCACAATCATAACAGCTTCTTTCCAACTCTTTCAACACAGTTTGCAGATCTTTCCCTGTGCAGAAGTGCTGGTGTGTTTCATGTCACTGGAACTTGTGACAGAGGCAAAAACACTGAAAACATGTTTGAATCTCACACTGGAATTTCACATCCTTCCCGGCCAACTTGGAAGACATGCATCAAGTCATGCAACCAGGTACTTGAGAACACCAATGTGCTACAGCAAACCAGGTGCAATGGCAGCCCTTAACAGAATAAAGACAATCTTGTAAAATGTTACCTCCATTTTGGGACAACCAATGTGTTTTATTTTTAGCTACCCTCTCACTCCACCAATGGTGGGATCTCACGCCTCAGGGGCAAGCATCTAAATGGCCTAGTTATAAAGTAGTGTAAAAGCAGCCATGCAGAAGACAAAAAAAACCCCAGAAGCTGAGGGGAGGCTGCAAATGTATCCCAGTTGTAGTGGCCAGTGTGCCATTCTACAACCTTCCAGACACGAGAGCTGAGTGAGAGGCTCCCCAGGAAGCATGGTCTCTCTACTAACCCATGATAACTTGATAAAGAGTAGGAACTTTGGGGTGCCGCAAGCAACAGCAGCACAACCTGGTAACTAAGGAGCCAAAGCCTAGGGATCTCGGTGCTCTGAGTGCATGGCCACTGCCAGGGGAGGGCACCTAACAGAGATGGATGACTTCCCATCATCTTGAAATAGTTACTGCCTTCATGGCAGCTGATGTGTGCATTGCTAGGAAGAGGGTTTGTAGCAGCCAGTTCTCTTAAGAGTGATGGAGCAGTTTTTTCTTGGATAATGACAAGCTCACAACAGAGGCACAAGGCAGGAGAGAGAGATCAAATCCAGTCCAACAGGAATCCTGTAGCCTGAATGCCCATTGTACAAAGAGAGGAAGGGGAGAATTGTTCTAGTCAGGGAGGGCCAGACTCTGCCCTGGATCGGCTGGCTCGGCAAAAGTAGGACCTGCAGGGAAAGCACCTGTGAGCTGCTGTCTGTATGTACAATATCTGCTTGAACTGTACAGAGTTGAGATTACGGAAAAAACTGGCTCACCTGGATAATAAGCTATTGTCTCAGCATTCACTGCTTTAAATAGAGATGAGGATGATGGACCGGATGATGGAGAAAAAGAAAGAAGAAACCCTGGGCAGGGAGGTGTTTTCAAACACAGATTTCTAAGTGTCCAAATGAGCTGAGTACAGATTTCTAGCAACTGCACACACCTACTCTTCCCTCCAGCAACAGGAACCCAAAAGGCATGAGCGCTGCATTACATTGGCTCGCTGCTCAGAGACTATTAGGCACGAAGTCTAAGCACGTTCAGTGTAATCAGGCATGAATTAAAACACTGATTTATGCCTATCCACGTCTCATTGCTACTACAAAACGTTGGTATAGACTATTAATATTAAAAGAATGTTTGGGAGAGGGAAGATATACTCCAAACCTTAATTATGCAGGTCCTTGAACAATCCTCTCCTAGATCTTTCCACATGATTTAATAATTCCCCAGCCAGAAATTATGTGAGGAAATGTGTGCCCTATGCCTTCTCACAGCATGTGTCGCATCTGAATAGGGACTATCTTATGGATGCTATCCTTCCCATAGGTCATTACTTGGGCTGCCTCTCACACAGGTAGTGCTTGCGTAACATTCTCCTTGCATTTTCTTCCAGTTGCTTACTTGGACCAATATGTATCAATGCACTTTTTGCTGGAAATGTGCAATTTCATGGATGGAAATGTGAAGCAACCAGCATCATGTGGCCAATTAGCTCTCCACAGGCTACCAGCACCTGCTGTGAGGACTGCCAGTGATCCAAAGCTCTCCATTTGCAACTTCTGGGCCAAGGGTTCAAGGAGGGCACCCAATGTTAACATTTCTGGGAAACAACTCTGTAAGACAATGGCATTTAAAAACAAAGCCCAACCAACTGGAAAAGGGCAAATCTAGTACCCATCTTTAATAAAGGTAAGGAGAATGATCCAGGGAACTACAGACAGGTCAGCATCACCTCAGTCCCTGGAAAACTCATGGAGCAGATCCTCAAAGAATCCATTTCTAAGTACTTGGAGAAAGTAATTAGGAAGAGTCAACATGGATTCACAAGGGCAAGTGATGCCTGACCAACCTGATTGTCTTCTATGATGAGAAGACTGGCTCTGTGGGTGCAGGAGATATGATATACCTTGACTTTGGCAAGTCGTTTGATATGGCCTCCCACAACATTCTCACAGGCAAGCTAAGGAAGTATGGAGTGGATGAACGGACTGTAAGGCAGAAAGAAAACTGGCTAGATCATTGGGCTCAAAGGGTAGTAGCCAACAGCTCAGTGTCTAGTTGGCAGCCAATCTCAAGTGGAGTGCCCCAGGGATCAGTCCTGGGATCAGTTTTGTTCAATATCTTCATCAGTGGAGTACATCCTCAGCAAGTTTGCAGATGACACCAAGCTGGGGGGAGTAGTAGATGCACTGGAGGGTAGGGCTAGGATTCAGCGAGACCTTGACAAATTGAAGGACTGGGCCAAAAGAAATCTCATGAGGCTCAACAATGACTAGTGCAAAGTCCTGCACTTAAAACAGAACAATCCCGTTCATAGAAGATACAGGCTTGGGACCAACTGGCTAAGCAGCAGCTCTGCAGAGAAGGACCTGGGGGTTACAGTACACAAGAAGCTAAATATGAGCCAACAGTGTGCCCTTGTTGGAAGTGATTATTTTCCTCTATTCAGCACTGCTGAAGCCACATCTGGAGTAATGTGTTCAGTTTTGGGCCACCCATTACAAATAGGATGTGGAAAAATTGGAGAGTCCAGTGGAGGATAATAAAAATGGTTTGCGAGGAGACATGACTTCTGAAAGAGGCTGAGGGAACTGGACTTATTTAATATGGAGAAGAGAAAATTAAGAGGAGATTCAATAGCAGCCTTCAATTATCTGGCAGATGACAGAACAAGAAGCAATTATCTCAAGTTGTAGCATGGGAAGTTTAGGCCAGCAGCCTCCTCAAAAAGACTGAAGCAAATCCTTCACTTCTCTGTAAAAATAAAATCTGACGAGCCAAAAAAAAAAAAAAAAAAAAAAAAGAAGAAAAAAAAAAAGATATGTATACAAGCAGGAAAACCCACTTTAGTTTCTGATGTTTCCCTCTTTGCTGCTCTGAAATCTGTCTGATGTGTCCCAGCTTTTCTAGCCTAGGCTGCAACCAAGCGAGGGAAATTTCAGGCAGTCTCCTGTTATCTTTGGCAAAGGAGGAGGCAAGAATGTATCAATTCAGGCTTACAGTGGGAAGTTAGCCTCAGCCTGTGCAGAGCCTATTGCCTCCACCTAAAAGCCTGGCCAGAGTTAAGAGTATCAATTCTCAAACAAGTGTGCCCTACCCTAAGAGTCAGCTACAACACTACAGAACATCTGAACTGGTTTCCACTTACCTTGTCATTGCTGACTTTGTATATGGCAGAGCTATCTGTTATGGAGGTTTGGGTGTTTCGGTATTTGCCTGTTAACAACTAATAAGAATAGAAACAAAGCAAAAATGTAAAAACAAACATTACCAGACTGTACAGAAAACATTAGAACTCAGGGGAAAGGCAGAACTCTCTCTTTTAGGGCAGATTATTTCAGTCTAGAAACCGGTACACTGTATGTCTATCAAGCTCTTCTATCCTTCTCAAAAGGAGAGCTGGAATGCAGAGCCTCAATCAAAGCCACCATTAAAACACAGAATCACACGCTCATAGGAAATGCCACTGCAATACTGTTGGCCAAATTGTGATCCACCTGCCCATCCTCCATCTCCTTCACTTAAAAGTTCTGCAGAACTATAGCTAGGTCTGTAAGTTAGGTGGGTTAACAACAATCCATTGCTCCACAGCCTTGGCAATATCTGCTGTGGACAAATCCCTTGCAGAAAATAGTGCTCTTCTCAACACAGCCCAGTGAGCAAACTCACTGGAAACACAACAGGGACACTAGGACTAGTCAAAAAACTCAAACCCCTCTAGCTAGAACTGGTTTGATTGGCACTATGCAGTTTCTAATACATCAGCCCACTTTCTCTTGTCACTGGAGAAGCAGTAAAACAACAGGTGAGGCCATAAAAAACAGCACAACTTATGAACTTTAAAAAATGGAGAATAAAACACAAGCCCCAAACCTGACCCTTGTTATAATTAGTCCTGTTGAAAAAGCACAATCAATTGTAATAATCTATGTAAAACAAATACTCATATAAATAACAAGTTATAATTTCAAGCGCTTTTCAAAACTAAAACTAAATATCAATGCATCAATGGGGAATTTTTTTTTAATCTTCTTATCTCTAGAAGGGAACAAAAGGGAATAAAAGCAAATATTTGCAAGTCTTCGAGAGTTCTCTCCTCAGAAACAAATGCAGCCAAGATGACAAAACAATGACTGGTGAGGAAGCCATTCAGCTTTCTGTCCTGCCAGCCAGTCCCTTTGGGATTGCTCATACTGCCTGCCTGCCTGGTGCACCTAGGAGCTCTGCTGAGGAGCCCGCCCAGCCAATCCCCTACCCCGAGCACCCCAAATACTAGAAGTGAGGCCCCATACCACAGAGTGATGCTGAGCACACAGCAAAAGGCACAACCAACACAGGGCTTGTCTCCCTGGGACAGGTCTCACCAAGGACAGGGTCAAGCACATCCTGTTCACATGCCTCCCCAAGCCTGCAGGAAT